CTGAAATACCAAACTTAAGGAAAGTATGATACCTAGACGCATCTGCAGAATTAAAGTACTATTTCTCAAAAAAGTTATTTCAATAAATTCGCAGAGGAATGACGATAAATGCTTCCAATTTGAGAAGTAATTTTTAAAAATCATCCGTTGTTATTTTCTTGAGATGAAGATAGCTATTAAATTTTCGTGCATCAAAGAGATCCAATCTCTAAACTTATTACAAACAAGTTTCAAGGGATTTCTATTCAGTTCGAATCATGGTCAAAGATACATCGAAAGTCAAGAACTACAAGTCATCGAAATACTCCAGATCACCACTTCAAATACTCTGTATCACCTTTTGATTTATCGCCAACTATTCCATCGAATTTTAGTTGATATTTTCTCAAAAACTGAATGCGAACTATTTTTCTATATCCAATTAAACCAAACTACGATCTGAAGAATGTGTGCGTATTGTTATAGTTTAAACAAGCAAATAACCATGGCAAGTTGGTTATTTTGCCATTACCATTTACCGGAAGTCCACGGTATATGTATGAATACCGTAAATCTGGGTAATCGTGAATTGGGTATATCTTAATAACGCTTAGATATAACTCGAAAAAAATTACTTCCTTGATAGTCGCATTTGGATAGATGTAATTTAATCGCATTTGTGTTTCGTCAAAAATGGATTAAATTCATTCAATTTATAATGAAAGGAGAGATCTTTTGTCCTGTGAGATGATGGGTATCTTCTACAAAACAGAAATGGATCTTGCCACATAACTCTTTATTTATTTTTGTTTTTTTGGTTATTAAATACGATTAATCCAGATCACATTATTATGGAGAACATTCCTGATCCTGACTTAGACAAACAAAGATAAATAAAATTGTAAGGCAAATGGTGCAAGGACCGTGTGGAAGCATCAATCCGAATTATCCATGTATGAAGGACGGCAAATGTACCAAGTGATATCCGAAGAGTCTGCTACTCGAAACTCAAAATGAAAAAGATGCTATCCACTATATTGAAGAAGAAAATTAGCTGACGGAGGATTCGAAGAAAGATCGAGACTGATTTGAGGTCGGACTGCTTTAGCTATGATGAATTATAAGTGGCAATGTCTAGAGTTTGGAGTGGAAAAATTTTATGCATGTTAACAAAATTCAGGAAAGCATCCTTGTTGATTTCTATCAGAATCTAACTGCTAAATAAATAATTTTTTTGTTCTAATGCAGCTGGCAAACACTGAGAAAATGATGAAAGGCCTCGATGCCTTCAGGCAAGAGCTGCACAGACGTTATTCACTTAGCACTACACAGGAGATATGTGTAGCTTGAAGATCAACTAAGGACGCGGAGTAACAATACCCCCGCAACGCTCATGTTAGACCGGGACCTACGGTTTAAAGTGGATTCCGAACCACTACAAACATCCATGGCACCGCCGGGACTCCAAACCGAAACCTGGGGCACTGAGCGCCAGAGCGCTAGCCACTTGGCCATTCAGGCCCTGATAAATAAATATAACTTTTACAATAATGCGAAATTTTTCCTAATTAAAATGATGTTAATAATGTTGCATCTTGAACCCAAATATTTTTAAATGTATCTTATTGTTATTTAATATTAAGGCATATTAAATGAACAACATATTGATTCATTATTTAAATTAAAATATATTTTACAGAAGCTTCAATGCTTCCTGACATCCATGATCCATGATAGTATTGAAAAAAAGTAGAATGTAAAGGACTATTGCTATTGTTCCAGTAAAACCATCGTGAATTTTCCTATATGTGTATATATATATATATATAGAGAGAGAGAGAGAGAGAGAGAGAGAGAGAATTTCAAAGGCAAAACATTTTTTAAAACTTTGCTAGAACTCATGTACATTTTAACATTCATACCAACAATGGAAAAGTAGTAAATAGTCTGTTAAAACATAACTAACCAGAATTAGTTCCATTAAAATAAGTTTTAAAAGTTTTTAATTTTTAACCCTACTCACATACGTTTTCGAATCCTCGATCGAAATCGGATTAAATAGCTATATATATACGTGTGTGTGTGTGTGTGTGTGTGTGTGTGTGTGTGTGGTGTGTGTGTGTGTGTGTGTGTGTGTGTGTGTGTGTGTGTGTGTGTGTGTGCGAGCTTATGTATGTATGCATGCATAAACGAACCTCAATGTCTCAAATCTCTCTTAACAGATTACTGAATACAAAAGAAAATCTTAAAGGCCCTATTTTCCAACCTTATTAACGAATTTTTACAACTTCCTCTTCTTCTTTCATTCCATCTTTCATTACAATGTTAGTCAGAGCATGCTTGCTTGAAAAGTTAAATATCAGCAAGATAATGTATTTCTCCTTCTTGAAGTCCAAAATGAATAACAAAATATGTCATATTACAAGAAAACTAAATAACCATTAGCAAATTAACATATACCTTAGAATATAGTAATTGAATAACATAGACCTTACTGTTCTATATTTTCCATTTGCGCATTTGTCCATACTGTAACTTCTCGGCTTCAAGAGGGACACTTTAAGTTTTATTTACAAACATTAAATATATATATATATATAATAGAACACTGGATTATTATACTATTTACAAAGAAATTAAAATTAAAGATATAAATTAGATACACAACTGCAGTTCACTCCAAAGACGGAGAGTGGTCAGATGGCCAATTTGTTAGCATTTTGGCTTTTGGTACGACAGGCTTCAAGTTTGAAAGCTGGCGGTGGCATGGATGTTTATGGATGGTTCGGAATCCACTTTAAACTGTAGGTCCAGGTCTGTTTAGAGTTTTCACAGTTCTCGAGTCTAAGAAGAATCTAATGCATCCTGTTTGGGAAGATTTAAATTATCACACAGCGTGATACACGAAATCACAAGGGGGTCACTTTATAAACAGGTGGAATCTCCGGCCTGTTCAGTCACTTCACAGAAAAAGAGAAAAACATCGAGTCGACAGGAAGTATCCTGTCGACTAGTCGCAGAACACTCTTTCTCCAAAAATCTCCCTTTAAGAAAATCCATCAAGAAGGGGTGATCAGCTTCCCGCACTTCTCATTGGAGTGAACACTTTTCAGCCAATGGTTTATCGCCTATCATCATGCAGCATTTCATAACGTAGTCCATATCCCCTCTGTAATTGTTTCGACCTGTGAAAGTCGCCCAGATAATCGCTAATTTCATGAGAACTCATTATCCATGACACTGATTATCTGCTGTCAGATTTGTATGATAGGTTGTCATTATGCCCTTGTTAAAGAATATACGTTCCTTTCCCCTGGGAACAAAAATGCTATATCTCTTCTCATGGACAAAATGCTACAATACCCATTTATCTTTTTTAATAAAGGATAGTCTATCGTGTGCTTCCTTTTATAAAATTATGTAATACCAAGTTTTTTTTTTATATTTACACTTGGTAAGCTCACGAGCTCCACTTAATGAAGGAATCCAATAAATATTGATGGCGAAATAATTATTTCTCGTAAAAATAAAAAGTTTTTCCTCTAGAAATATCTACTTTAGGTTATGATTCAAATAAAATTGAAGATATTTCTGATTTACAAAACATAAAATTAAGTGCTATATCAGATAATGCGCATACTTAAATTAAATATTTTCGATTGTGGAATTAGATATATGATTCTCAGTTAATTAAATATTAAAATATTTAGTTCTTAACAAGATCTCGAGTTCCAACAATTCGCATTGTGGAACATTATAAATAATTCCTTCTAAGAAATTTCTCGCGCAAAATGCTTAATTTATTAAAGTACATGCAAAGCTGTTAGTGACGTCTACATTTATGGAGCTCTTCCTTTCATGTAAACATCATTAACGCGTATCACATCATAAGAATTTATTTTACAACTTGTTATAACGAGTAGTGTTAAATTTAATTCCAAACTCTAGTAGATTATCTCATCGTAAAAGTTCGCAAATGATTTTATGATGAATGTTCTCAGTTCATCATGATCGTTAATTCGAATATAATGCTTTTCGCGTAGAAGTATTAGCTGTTCAGTTTCATCTTTTATAATGCAAATATCAATTGGAGAATAAATTTAACGAAATTAGAATTTAAATATTATGGAAGAAAACTATTCGAAGTAATTTCTTCCATAATATTTAGTGGCCTGATGGCCAATTGACTATCACTCTTCTGGCCTTTGGCACCACAGGCTTCAGGTTCGAATCCTGACAGTGGCATGGATGTTTGTAAGTGGTTCTGAATCCACATTAAATTATAGGTTCCCATCTAATTAGCCAAGAGTGTGCACAAAATGACCGATAAACCAAACCAATCCATAAAATTTGAATTCTAAAATCAATCTCCTTGTTTCTGAAAGCAGAGACTGCAATGGACGTCACCAGCAAATTCAAATCTGAAACACTTATCGCTTCTGCAAGCTAGTTGGGGACATTCAGTCGCGAGTTCGACTCATTGCATGTGGGAAATTAGTTATTACATTTTACAATAGTTTATGTAATAACTAATATTTTTTTATATTTTATATTTTTCTATATTTTTATTTTAACTATTATATATTTTTTATAGTTTAGTTTTTCCAACGCTTGCACTCAATGTATATGGCCAACGAACCTCTTTGATAACATTTTTATTATGATAGCCACCACTTCAATGTGCCAACGTTATTCTTGCGAAGGGTGTGAAAGGAACGCAATGTCTTTGGATAAAAATTTCAAATTTCTAAATATTCAACTACCTAAAATTAGCATATTGGTGTATGGAGGAAGTATTAGTATTAGTAATGAATGTCTTAATTATATTAGTATTAATATTAGCGTATTATATTATATTAGTATTAGTATTAAAGAAGGAAGGAAAGAATTGAACATTCTAATAAGGCAGTTTGATTTTTGACTTTCAGTGCGAAATTCTACTCATTTATTTAAATAGCGACGGCAACGTATCCTATTGGCGAAATCAAATCCTAGTCCCTTGCATACTAGCTGGAGTACACTATCGCCGGATCAACCGTAGAAAGACCGAAGTCAAGCATCATTGGGCGCGTTTCAGTACTTGGGTGGGTGACCACCTGGGAACACTGCGTGCCGTTGGCAAATTTGGGACCTGAATGGCCGAGTGTCTAGCGCTCTGGCGCTCGGTGCCACAGGTTTCGGGTTCGAATCCCGGCGGTGCCATGGATGTTTGTAGTGGTTCGGAATCCACTTTAAGCCGTAGGTCCCGGTCTTCTATGACTGTAAGAGCGTCACGGAGCAAAAGTCAGGCTTCTACCTACGGGTGCTCCATCACAACAGAAGCTGCTTCCTTCCCCTTCAATCATGAGTCCATATGGGCTCGTGGGCTTGGCCAGCCAAGTGGGATAAGAAACAACAACAACAACAACCGTAGAAAGAACCTCACAAGAAAAAAATAAAGATAAAAATAATTTTTTTTTAAGAAAAAAGATAAAAATATTTTTTCAATAAAACAAATTTTAATCAAGTTACTAAGAATTCTTACAAACAGCAAACGAATGAAAAGCAATATTTAATACGCACTGGCACCAAGGCGCCATTAATATTCTATGACCAATTACAAATGTGCATATACCACAAAATGCAAGAACGATAAATATTCAATGCAGATGCATAAAATATGATGCACTCTTATCCTGTTTACTTCGTGTTTGGTAAGTAACTAATAACTTTCGAGGAAAATATACCACTGAATCTTCAGTTAACATCCCATTAATTCTAAGAAGATACGCCATTTCGAATAAAACATTTTGCTTATTGGAGAAGCTTAAAAACGACAATAAATAAACAAGTTCCTTTTTTTTTTTTTCAGCAATTTAATTTCCATTTCTAAATTCCAAACGTAAAACTGCTCGAGGCTAGAAGTATTAACTTTCCATGTTTTGGAGAAAATCACGATTTCGCAGTTAAGCCAATATTGACTGCTTAGCTAAAGGCGATTTAAAAGAGTTCGAAAACTGTAATTATCCCAATCATTAGTATAAATATCTCTTTCGAAAAGTGAAATGTATTTTTCTCGTAAGAAAAAGGTGGGTTTTTTTTATTTTTTAAATTTCCCAGTTGAAAAAAACTTAACACAAAAGCAATGCACAAAGTTTGTAGCTGTATTAAGATGCTATTTATTTTCCATTTTAATCTTTTTTTCTTGTATTCATAAAAGTATCATTTTTTAAAGTAATGCTTTTACGAAGAAAGATCTAAATAATCAATTAAATAATTTTTATTTTAGCTGTTCATTGTCTGGCGTGGATTTCAATAAAATGGATTTTGAATAATATTGATATTCAAAACAATTTTTGCAATGAAATTAAATTAATTGAAAAAGTATATAATTCTTCGGTATACATCTCCGTCTTTTCTTCATTCTTAAATGAAGAAAAATTTTAAAAAATTTTATTTTTTTTTTTTTTTTTTTTTATTTATTTTTTTTTTCCCCACTTGGTCGGCAGCAACATCTAGACCAAGTCCAAGAACCCATGTGATCTCATGGAAGGAGGGAAAGGGGGCAGCTTCTGTTGTGATGGACCATCCGTAGGTAGAAGACTGACTTGGCTGCGTGTTGCTGAATAAGGAGGTCAGTGTCTTCCAGGAGGACTTTTAGGAGAAAATACACCGCATTTGGTATGGGAGAAAACCCGTAAAATTCCCACTAGCTAGTCCGATGAACGAGGCAAGGTGCTGAACATCCCAAACACCATCGAGGCTCCTAGTTTTTTTTTTTTTTTTTTTTTTTTTTTTTAACAATGTCTATAACAAACCGCCAGAGGAAATTGCTCCTAGTGTTCGTCCAGTATGTCTATGACATAAAGATTGGTTCCAAATTCTCACCTGGCCTCTTTTTAATCAGCATCATTACCAACAAGACAGAATCGTCTCTCATCCAAGAACACACCAGATCTCTATTCCATCCTAAAACGAGTTCTTCATACCACTGAAGCCGCAGATGGCGCTGATTGGAGTTAGTGGCATGAAAGCAACAGGACATCAGACTCAGAGCTATTCCCCAAGTAATCGACTGGCTATTATTCGCTATGCCACTCTGGTACTAACAGAAGTTTGAACATCTGCTACACATACAATACGATACGCTACAGCCATCTGACGAATAAGGTGATCTTCCCTTGTAGGGCTAGACCCCGGTCTTCTTGAGACAATACTTCCCCATTGCCACTACTGCCAACAATCATGCACAATGAATACATTCTTACCACATCTTTCTGTAATATTACAAAAGAACATCTCGTAGCTCTGGAGCCCTGATGGTCAATTGGCTAGAGCTCTGGCCATTAGTATCGCAGGCTTTTCAGGTGCGAATCCTTGCGGTGGCATGGATGCTTGTTAGTGGTTCGGAATTCCCATTAAACTGTAGTTCCCAGTCTAATTAGCCTAAAGTAGTAGAGCGACGAAGTAGCAGAGCGTAGCCAGTCTAGTAGAGCGACAAACCAAACCATCTCGTAACTCTATAACAATTTGCACAAATCGTTACTGATTTGACTGACTAAATGGAAGTTTATTCCACAAAAGGCCATTCGGCACAATGTATGTGCGTTTGTATGCTTGCATTCAAAATAGTGAAGACTACAGCTGTTATTAATGTAGCACCGTTTCATATTTAAAATGGTTATTCTCGCACATATTTTAACCTGTGACCTTTGAGACTTTAATCAAATAAATGTGTTACCTAGACAAATGCTTTGCCTCAATTTCAATCCATTAAATTAATTTCATTTTTGATGTTGAGATTTTTTTTTCATTAGTGTATTAGTTATAGTAATCTTAATTGAGTATTCTTTTTCCGATTTAATAATATAATGATTTAGTATATGCAATAATCTTTTTTATACATGTACCGAGTGATTATTAGAGAGATCTATAAACGAAGCTAAAGTTTAACGCTAAACATAACATCATTGGTTTGGTTTGCCACTCTACGGTCATTTTTTTATACTTTAGGCTAATTAGACCAGGACCTACAGTCAGGGTCGGATTTTCCTATAGGCTAACTGGGCTTCAACTTAGGGCCTCAAGATCAAGAGGGGCCTACATTCAAATTGCTAGCAAAATTATAATTACACTATTCTAAAAACAGTAAACACTAAAACACTGAATCCAAAATAAGGAGAAATTCTACACATATGAATAATAAACAAACATAATAAGTAATTTACAAACTTAAAAATGGAAGGTGAAAGAGCCTCATTAGTGAAATAGCCTAGGGCCTCTTTTCATCTAAATTCGACCCTGCCTACAGTTTAATGTGTATTCCAAACCATGCCCCTTCCAGGATTCGAACCTGAAGCCTGTGATGTCAAAGCCAGAGTGCTGTCCATTTGGCTATCGGATCGCAAACAGAGTCAAACATCTTGATCAGATTTAAAACTTTAAACATTTGGAAAAGAAAATATTTATAATAAATCATTTATATAATTTTTAAGACTTAAATATAAACTAATATCAACAATAAAAGTTTATTTACAGGAATTGATTTTCTTAAATGGACAAATTTCAAATCAACTTAATAAAATTTGTCCCTTTTTCAACTTGAAATATAAGTTTTTTTTAATTCAAATTCAAGTATCTGGAATTAAAGGGAATTTATCAGAAGATATTTGACGGGGAATAGGACATTAATCCACATCAGCGTGTCATTCCATACGGCAAAAGTGAAGTTGAGTCCGATGGAGAGCATTAATCTTCATTCTCCCTATTGCGAAAGACCGCCCTGGAGAATACAGTGGGTAATCTATCACATAGAGGTAAGATTCAACACATTTTGAATAACCTTATGATGCGAAACTAACGTTATATTATTCAACTAGACGTGATCACTAAACTATAAGTGATAACTTCAACTATAAGTGATCACTAAAGATATTTTAGTTCACATATTCAGCCAGAGAATAAGAATAATGAAATTTGCAATGATTTTAGACAAATAAATTAGTTCAAGTACTAATTCCATAACGTTTTAGTAATATAAAATGTTCATATTTTTATTAATTCTACCAAGTGGTGCAAAATCTGTATAAACCTTGTGTCGATCCAAATTTGATTCTCGCTAGTAGCATATGTTTAATAGTTGCTTAGAAAAATGAACATATTCACTAGCGATTGTGAGTTTCCCGTTACTGCTAATGGAAATTTTCAGGATTTCCCACTATAAGATAAGTAAATGGTACAATTATTCCAAAAAATATTGTCCCATCCAGAAATACCATTTATTTTAGGCTTGAAAGTAAGTTTCACCAACAGTTTTTCTTTTTTTTTATTCGTTGAAAAGTATCTAGATATATATATATATATATCCAGATACTTTGAAATGTCTTGAAACAATAAATTATATAATTACTTGGTGTTTTGCCATAATCATTATTGATTTTCATTAAGGATTAAAACCATAAAACCTACAATAATTATCAAATAAAACAAAACAAAAAAAGTTTGCATTTTAACGTTAAAATTTAAATGCTAAACAAGCATTTTAAATTTACAAGCCCAAATAATTAATGAGAAATAATAAATATTTTTCCATTTAAAACATTAACTAAAACATCTCAGAAATTTTTCTTTCGACATATATATATATATAAATGGGACATGATGGCCAAGTGATTGGCGCTCGGTACCACAGGTTTCAGATTCGTGTCCTGTCGGTTTCATAGATGTTTGTAGTGGTCCGGAATCTACTTTAAACCTTAGGTTCCGGTCTAATATGGCTGTAGAGAATTGGGCGAAGGGCAAACACCCTACCCTGTAATAAGAAAACATCTCTTGTCTCGTAATCTATCAGTAAGCAGACGATCTTGTCCCACCATGGGGCTGTTGCGCCAAGGAGAATAAGGATATATATATATACATATGTTCAAACAATAAAATAAAAACATTTTAGATTCGAAATAAAAAGAAAATGAACAGCAATTTTAGTAATATTTGTTATATAAATTTCCCAGTAAGTTTCTTATTAAAATATTCGGTAAAATCGCAGAATAGAGGCCGTTGGGGTTTGGCGTCAAAAATCTTTTTCTCTAAAGTGCGCCAAGAAAAGGGTTGCAATTGTAAATAAAATGAATTGCAAACA